AAATTATAGGGTTACCAGAGGGGAAGAGGAAACACAACAAGTGGAAAAGTTATTTGAACAAATAAAGGCGAACTTCCCCAATCTGGCAAGGCAAATAGACTTCCAGGAAGTCCAGGAAGCTCAGAGAGCCCCAAAGAAGCTGGACCCAAGGAGGAATATGCCAAAGCACATCATAATTACATTAGCCAAGATAAAAATGAAGGAGAGAATCCTAAAAGCAGCAAGAGATAAGGGGACAGTTACCTACAAAGGTGTTCCCATCAGACTGTCCACTGATTTCTCAAAAAGAGATCTTGCAGGCAAGAAGGGGCTGGAAAGAAGTATTCCAAGTCCTGAAAGGCAAGGACCTACATCCAAGAATACTCTATCCAGCAAAGCTTTCATTTAGAATGGAAGGGCAGATAAAGTGCTTCTCAGATAAGGTCAAGTTAAAGGAGTTCATCATCACCAAGCCCTTATTATATCAAATGTTAAAGGGACTTATCTAAGAAAAAGAAGATAAAAAATATGAACAGTAAAAAAAAGACATCAAACTCACAGTAACAACCACACCTAAAACAAAAGCAAACTAAACAAACAAAGAAAACAAGAGAGGAACCACAGAAATGGAGATGACATGGAGGGTTAGCAAAAGGGAAGTGGGTGGAGGAGAGAGGGGAAAAAGATATAGAGAATAAGTAGCATAGACAATAGGTAGAAAATAGACAGGGAGAGGGCAGGAATGGTGTGGAAAATGTAGAAGCGAAAGAACTTATGACACATGGACATGAACTAAAGGAGGGAATGTGGGTGGGAGGGGGTGGGCAGAGGGGAGGGGAGTGAAGAAGGAAAATGGGACAACTGTAATAGCATAATCAATAAAATATATTTTAAAAAATTTCCTTCTCAAACTTTAGCACTAATATCTTTAATTATGACATTCTTTCAACCAATAATTCTTGATTCTCTACAATGTATCAACAGGGTTCTTATTCTTAGTAAGCTTGCATTCTAAAATAGAGAAGATAATTTATATACACAAATAAGGTAAAAGAAATGAACTAGAGAGTCCTAGACGAAATTATTAATTAAAAAATTATTTGGGGAGAATGGGAAAGAGTTCTATAGAGGAGATATTGAACGTAGGTCTCAAATAATAGGTAAGATTTGAGTATGTGAAAATAACAGGAAAGAACATTTTTGGAGCAGGAAGTCTAAGAGTCAGTAGGCAATACAGGGAAAATGTGAGGCATGCATGAGAAGGAGCAAATAATTTGGTACAAATGGATCCCTGGGTGTGAGGTAGGGACCACAGAGATTTAAGAGGAGAGACCTAGAGAGAACAGTTCAAACAAGTCACATCTGTTATAAACAGGAGTTAAGAGTTTAGGTAAAAAGCCCAATCTTCAGATTTTAGCAGTGTAGATGATCAGAGGTGAGGCTTAAGACAGGGGAAAAGAAATCAACGCGTGAAATATTTAGAAGCAGGAATCAGCAGGGCTAGGTGACCTAAAATGCAAGATATGAACAGCACAAAGCAGAATCAATTCACAGTAATAAATTCTGAGGTACAGGCTGTATGTTGTATGGCGTTCAGGGCAGGAGATAGTTCATGAGCTGGAGAGGCCTGGGAAGGTTTTTGAATACCTAGTTATGAGGTGGTATCTTCTGTATGTCCTTGAGAAGCTGATGCTTGTTGCTAAGTAAATCGCAGTTTCAGTGTTAAAGAACTAAGCTTTTTATTGAAGTACAGATCAAGAATCCAAAATGTGGCTAAGTAATTACATTTTTTGAACTATTCAAATAATAAAATATTTAGCTAGAATAAACTAAGAAAAAGTACAATGAGTTGGGGATGTATTTTGATAGTTAAAACAGCTGCAAACCAGGACTAGGGGATGTGTTAATTTGCTCAAGGAATTAAACCACTTCTAAAACAACAGCTGAGCTGCAGGTTAGGCCTTTCTTCCACCTCCCTTGGCCTCCGCCAGGACCAGTAGTAGCCGCAGTGAATCTGAATGAGGTGAGGGAGATCATGGATGTTCTGCTCTATGGAGACTCTGTCTATTTGTATACAGCTTTGTGAACAAGGAATTAATCCAGAAGCTTTATCATCAGCTATTAAGGAACTTCCCAAGGCCACTGAAGTGTGAAAAGCTGCTGAAATATGACAAGCTGACTTTCTGGAGAAATCCTGATGAGAGGATGAGCTCTGCACAAGGATTTGAAGATCGAATTGCAGTCAAGAATGTACAATGGAATTACTACATACAGCAGTGTAGCAACATTTTCCTTTTTAAAGGTATTATAAAACCATAGCTTTATAAGTCAATGAAATGTGGCTTACAGAGAGAACCATCAGATGTGTTCATGTCACGTCTTACTTTTAAAAATAGCTCAAATGCTTTGGCATTGCAACATTCATATTCATGTATTCCTTATTTGTAGCTGTTAGCTTTAATTTTCTAAGCAGCTGTCAATGCACACATCTGCTGTTCGGATACCACTAGTAGTAATGTACTAGTCATGACTTGTTGACATTTCCATTAGAAACTAATTTTGAGTCATTTATGCAAAATAATGGTGGATTTATTCTGCATTGGGCTGAGTTGACAGAATTTCAACCACCATTTGTGAATTTAAAAATAACTTGAATGCTTACCTAATATATCCTGAGCAGTTATCTAATTACTCAATAGGTAACTAGTAGCCATCTAAGCACTAAGTGGGAGATGCCATTTAATAGATATGTTCTGTTTTATAAAGGAATAAACATTTCTAGTTATTTAAAAAAGACCAAATAATTAAATGTTCCATAATGTCTAAGATTATGCTTGTGTGTGCCTACTTTTACCTTGGAAGTTATAACTAATAAAAGTTTGGTTCAAAATAAACTTAACAAAATTTAGGATGTATTGATTCTGTTTCTATAACAAAATCTCAATGGAATGTTTTCCCCAAGAGTAATGCAAATTTAATCTGGTTTTATTTTAGACTTTGTTAACTTCCATTTAAATGACAGAACAAGCAAGTACTCTCTAGTAGCTTCTTTTTTTTTTTTCTCGGACAAAGAAACGATTTTAGAAAGGTTTAGTGTTATTTAAATGGCAACCTTCTATACTGGTTTAAAAATCTGGTCTTTTGACCATTTTGAATTTTAAATGCATGATGCACTATATGGTCTATTACTGAGAGAACTGGTTGGGAGACAGTAAGACTTTGTGATGATCAGTCATTTATCTAATAATAAAAACTGCGTGTTATTATTTATAAAGTCATAAAACACATTTGTCAAGCTCCAAAATTTGTGTATACTCTTTAGGCTATAAGAGTTAATAATTTTATTTGTGATTTTGTATATTATTAATGTATGAAACAAAGCAGGGAAGTATATTGAGAAGGAGTTGTGTTTACAGAAGGCTTCTTTAAATATTTCTTAAATATAAACATATTTATAATACATAGTTAAGTGGTATTTAAGTAAACCAAACAAAATAATGATATAATCAGTGTTGAGGATTTTGTCAGTGACAAAATAACACCATTTTTGTGGTTAAAAATTTTTTTTAATTAAAAAAGTAATAAAACAGGAGCTGCAATGGCAGTTATGATTAAGATTACAATAACCACAGTCATTCTCTGAGATCCATGTTTTTTATACCAGCCAAAAAGGTGAATTTATCAGTATACGGTAAGAATCACCACCCTTACATCCTTTAAGTCCCTCGTGGTAACAATAATCTCTGCAGCAATGTGGCATTGCCTTTGGTCTACTGTTTTCCTTAGGGAAGCATGGCTAGTGGTTTCTACTTCGGCTACAACAGCCCTCACTCCACAGAGAACCAAACAGGGATTCTGGCAGTTGCTGAGTTTGTTTATTCCAATTACTTAATCTGGAACTAGAAAATAACCACAAGATGCGCAAAAACTCCAGTGACCACCTGACCTGCATAAGGCCCTGCTCTGACTGTGGACCACAGTGATGTCATAGGTTTCCTGGAATTAGTGTCAGATCACAGTCAGAGTCCAGTAATCCTCAAAAGGTCTAACACTTCCTTTTCCCCAGTGCACAGTCATCTGTTTAAAGGCTGTATGTCCCTTTGAGGAACTTTCTACCTTTGTTCCCCCTGGAAGCCTGACCTAAGTGGTAAGTTAAGTTGACAACTATGAAATATTTGTAGGTGAAAAATAACCCCTGTTTGCACCTGGACTGGAAAAAATTGTGAATAAACTACAAATATCCACTAATGAAACCACAGCTTTGGCTATAAGGGAATAATTAGGTCCGACTGACAACTCTAACTTTTTCTATTTAATTAAAGGAGTTTTGCCCTGGCTTGTGTAGCTCAGTAAACTGAGCACCAGTCTGTGAACCAAAGGGTTGCCGGTTGGATTCCCAGTCAGGGCACATGCCTGGATTGCAGACCAGGTCCCCAGTAGGGGGCACATGAGAGGCAACCACACACTGATGTTTCTCTCTCCTTCTCCCTCCCTTCCTCTCTCTAAAAATAAATAAATAAAATCTTTTTTAAAATTAAAGGAGTTAAAAGAGCATATTTGGGTTGCCTTTAACACCTAGATCAAAGCATTAGAAATACCAGTTAACTCATAGTAATATTAGTAGTTACTTTAGCCCTTTAAAATAATCTTTGTTGCCAGGTGAAATTCCACTCCTGTTTCCCCCCACCCCGCCCCACCACCATGGCATTTATCACTATCTGGCACAAAGCATTTATTTATTTATTTGCTTATTGTCTGTCTTCCTTCTAAAACCTAAGCTCCACGAGGACCAGGACTTTGTCCATTGTTGTCCACTGCTCCCCTCCCAGTGCTGAAAAGAGTAACTGGTAGACAGAAGTCTAGTAAGTGTTTATTGATGAAACTCCTTCTAATGTACAGATATTATCTGATTGGCTAAAATTACTGGCACCCACTATGTGTCAAGCCCTTTACTGGTCAGATGTGATGACACAGTGGTTGTTTATGGAGCTAACAATCAGATAAAATTTCAGATAATTTTCTTCTGAAAGGAATTTTCTTTATTAAAATGTTATATGATTTCTTCACTATGATTCTACAAAATTAAATTATTTCGTAACATTTTATAAAAAAAGTTTATCTTCAACATGCTGTACATTTACCCCAGGATCCCAAATACTTCATAAACAATTTAAATCACTTTAAAAAACCATCCCTGTTCCTCCCTATGTTTATGGGTAAAATGAGATCAGCAATAGTAGTAGACTAAATGTTTCCTAACTAATCTCTATGTCAAATTTCTCTCAGCTGCACTCCTTTGGTACCTAACCACAAGTTTTCTCTTTAAAAACCCAGTTAATCTATTCTCCTTTCAAAAAAAAGAAGAGAGCTGAGCATTTCTTTCCTGTATATAATGAGTTCACAGGGACAATGAGACCTTTTGAAGAATCACACACCAATTCCCTTGATCGTAGTAGCTCTGCAGAATGCTGACATTGCTTAGAGCCTGGCAGGCAGCTTCCAACTCTCCCTCACAGAACACATGGTAGTAGCGATGAAACACAGGACTTGCATCATGGGTTCCCAGTGGACCACATGGCTCAATAGATTTTTCTTTACCAGGGTTTCCCTTAAGGTGCCATGGAACGAGTAAGTCTTGAGAATGAAAAGAAGTCCTGTTAGTGTGAATAGGCAGCTTGGAATTAGCACCTTTCTTTGAATTACATCTTCCGTTCTGAAAGTTATTAATGGAGGGGACAGAGCATGCTGAATCTTGATTGCCCATACCAGGCATTTGCTCCACAAGCATTTCTTGCACTGACGTATCACTGCTGATCTCCTCTTTCTTTTCTGGGCTAGTTCTGTCTTCTCTGAGATACTTGGACTTCTTCTTATTATATTCTTGTTCCATTGCCCAAACATAAATGAGTGCCTTCCCACCAGGTCTCAGGAGCCGAACAAGTTCTTGAAGAGCTGCCACTCTGCGCTCCTAGCAAAAAAACACGTTGCCATTTATCAGCCGGGAGGAGAAAGACAAAACAGAGAAATATAACTGAATATAGGACTGTTTTCAATTAAGATAAACGGCCTAGAAAATCTAACAAAATATCTTATATAAAACTTAAAGAAAGGAAAAAAACGTAAAGGGAATTTTGTTCTGTGATTGAGAGGCCATAAAACAGTGTTGAAGAAGGAAGGAAAAAGAAATTTTTATTTCTGTTAATAAAATAGAGGCATAGAGGGTTTTCCATTTTGTTTTGTTTTGAATTCAGTGAAGGTCACAAGATAAACTGAAACTGCTGGTGACACCACACAGGGTCATCTATAAAGGTATCACTTAGATTGGGAAGAAATCACTGACATCCAGGAAAAATAGATTTTTTCCCTATAAAAATATAAAATTCCCTTATTTTAAAATTAGGAGCATATGTGACTGATTAAAGGCATGAGTACAACAACTGAGATTACTTAATATATATGCTAAAATATATATATACATACATACATACATACCTACATACATAAGTGACATACTACTGCCAGTTAGATACCCAAATTTTGAAAAGAGAAAAAACAGAATGGGAAGGAAGTGAGATTCCACTATTAGGGAAGAGAGTGAGAGTTGAGAAAAAAGGATGGGAAATGGAGAGGAGGCTCAGAGGCTGGGGAAAGGGTGTACTTAAGAGGCACAGCACTGGTGTTCTCTTAGTCTTACAGGCAGTACTTAAAGATGAGTAGGCTGCTGTGGACCATGGGCCACCAAGGTCTGAAGGATCTTGGGATGGTTGGGTGAAAACTTGCTATAAAGAACACTGACTGAGAAGCTTCTGGGGACATACTTTGAAAATAGAAGGCCACTGCTAGCTCCCTGAACTCCTGAAATGAGATCCTCACCTCCAGATTGGCTACTCTACCTGAGAATCCATGTGCTATCAACTAGGCCTACTACAAGGCTAGGGTAGCAAAGGATGTCTTGGTAGACGGCTTTGAGAAGTTTAATGACCTGAAGGTTCCTGGGCCAGAGGACAAATATAATGCCCTGGGGTGCAGTGGTCCCCAACCTTTTTGGCACCAGGGACTGGTTTCATGGAAGGCAATTTTTCCACAGACAGGGAAGGGGGTGGGCAGGGAGACAGGAGGCGGAGCTCAGGCAGTAATGCAAGCAAAGCTTCCCTAACTACCAGCTGCTCACTTCCTACTGTATGGCCAGGTTCCTAACAGGCCACAGACTGCTACCAGTCCATGGTCCAAGGATTGGGGACCCCTGCCCTGGTGGATACTGAAGAACAAGGAGATGTGAAAAACTGCTGAGTTTTTGTTTCTCTCAAAGGCCAGGACTGAGCAAAAGAGAAAGAGATGGAGAAGATGAAGAACATAATTTCACTTGGTCAGATGACCACTGAAGATCTGAATGAAGTCTTCCTAGAAACCAAACTACGCAAGAAAAAGCATCCTTGCTGGCCTCAAAAGCCAACTGAGAATTTACAAACTTGAGTCTGGGAGAAAGCGCTTCTGACTCTCATATTATAAACACTGGACATTAAAAAATAATGATATAGTGAAAAACAATTTAAAGATGAGTAAGACTCAAGATAGGAAAAAGGCAGAAACATGAAGCAATAAAAGCATAAAGTCCCATCAGGCTTCAATTTAACTAAGTACAGGGGGGAACCCCCCAAAATCTGGAATTATCTTCTGGAGGGTGGGCCCCTTGTAAGTACAGGCTTCCCCCACTAGGTGAGTGTTCTAGGAACCCATCTGTATCTGATGGTATTATTATAAGAGGCTGCTTTGGCTTCAGTGAATTTTTTCTGAATACTGTTTCAATGTGTTTGTCCATTTCATGATGGGTGACTTACGAGCACACCTGCCCACACCATGCTGAGTGTTCAGTAGTTTATGACCAAAATAGCATGACCCCTGTGCCCTACCTTCCCTATTCACCCAATCTCACCCCGAGTGACATTTTTGTTGTTTACCTGGATGAAATAAGTCCTTAAAGGGAAACATTTCACCATTTTGGAAGCGGTGAAACAAAAAACAGCAGAAGTGCTACAGTCATACCTCAGTACTTGTTGGCCTCAGAACTTATCAAACCCTGTAATCAGTGCATTTTCATGAGAAAAAATGTTTCAGTGCTCTGTGCTTGCTTGGGACTCATCGCACTTTCTAGAACTTGTATGAGTCACAACACTGCCCCTCAAGAAAAAATGCTTCATCACTCATCACTTGCTCAGTACTCATCAGTTTCAATACTCGTCACAAGTTCTGGAATGAATTAACGATGAGTACTGAGGCACTACTGTAAGAGATATCAAAATCCACAAATTCAAACACTATTTTGAGCAGTGGAAAAAAACATCTCGATTTTTAGACTTCCGGCAAGATGGAGGAATAGGTGGACGCACCGTACCTCCTCGCACAACCAAATTAGAACAACAATAAAATACAGTCAGCATAACACCCAGAACCGACAGGGGATTCATCTAAATGGAAGTCAGACAGCCAAGAAGTTGAAGTAGACCCGTACATCCAGACTGGTAGGAGACAACGAGCCGAGCGGCCGCGGGGCTGGCGCGGGTCGGCAGCGCACGGAGGTCGGGGGAAATTTGGCGCGGAATCGGCGCGACAGCCATCGGGGCGCAGGAACACAGCGGTGGACCCTGAGTACGCAAGCTGCGGCTGCCGGACCCAGTGAGGTGGCGATTGTGGACCAGGGCAGAGCTCGCAGCCCAGGAGCCCCGGGAAAGGTCTGGGCCCAGGAGAATTGAACTGCCGCCATTGATTCCCTCCCGCCCCCGTCCCCACATATAACGTCACAATCTAGCGACTGGGGCCCCAGCCCCGGTGAACACCTAAGGCTCCGCCCCCCACCTTAACAAGAGCGACCAGACCAGAAAAAAAAAAAAAAAAAAGGAGAGACAGGGAAAGACATAAGACATGTGTGCAACAGAGCAGATCAGTCCCCCAGGACTCATCCTTTTGAGCGACCAAGAAATAGCCAATCTATCAGATGCACAGTTCAAAACGCTGGTGATTAGAAAGCTCACGGAATTGGTTGATTTTGGGCGCAATTTAGATGAAAGGATGCAGGTTACCATAAAAGAGATGCAGGAAGATACGCGGAGGAGAGCCAATAGAGAAAGGAAGGAATCTGAGTCTCAAAACAATACAGTGGACCAGAAGGAAGATAGAATCAACCAAGCAGGAAAGCATGATGAAATAAGAATTAAAAAAAATCGAGGAGAGCCTTGGGAACATCCAGGACACCTTTAAACGTTCCAACATTCGAATTATAGGGGTACCAGAAGGGGAGGAGCAACAAGTGGAAAAGTTATTTGAACAAATAATAAAGGAGAACTTCCCCATTCTGGCAAAGGAAACAGTCTTCCAAGAAATCCAAGAAGCTCAGAGAGCCCCAAAGAAGTTGGATCCAAGAAGAAACACACCAAGGCACATCATAATTACATTAGCCAAGGTAAAAAACGAAGGAGAGAATCCTAGAAGCAGCAAGAGATAAGGGGACAGTAACCTACAAAGGAGTTCCCATCAGACTGTCAGCTGATTTCTCCAAAGAGATCTTACAGGCAAGAAGGGGCTGGAAAGAAATATTCCAAGTCATGAAAGACAAGGACCTACATCCCAGATTGCTCTGTCCAGCAAAGCTCTCATTTAGAATGGAAGGGAAGATAAAGTGCTTTTCAGATAAGGTCAAATTAAAGGAGTTCATCATCACCAAGCCCTTATTTTATGAAATGCTAACGGGACTTATCTAAGAAAAGAAGATAAAGAAAAGACATGTATAGTAAAAGGACAGCAAACTCACAATTATTAACAACTACACCTAAAGCAAAACCAAAAGAAACTAAGTAAACAACTAGAACAGGAACAGAGCCACAGAAATGGAGGGCACATGGAGGGCTAGCAACAGGGGGGGGTGGGAGGAGGGGAGGGGGGGGAAAGGTATAGAGAATAAGTAGCATAGAATGTAGGTTGAAAATAGATAGGGGGAGGGCAAGAATAGTACGGGAAAGGTAGAAGCTAAAGAACTCATAAGAATTGCACATGGAAGTGAACTAAAGGGGGGGGAACGTGGGTGGGAGAGGGGGGTACAGGGTGGAGGGGAGGGAAGGGGGAAAAGGGACAAATGTAATAGCATAATCAATAAATTAAAAAAAAAAAGAATATTGACATTAAAAAAAAACAAAAAAAAAAACACATCTCAATGGGTGTATTGCATCAAATGGAGAGTACTTTGAAGTTGACCAAAGTTTAAACACGTAAGAACAAATACACAATTTTTTTATCAATAAATTCAGGGTTTTGGGGGTCCCCCCTCGTATAACTCCCATCTAACTCCATTCCACAGATTCTTTTAGCAAACAGTGCAAAATGTGACAACAAGAGAAAGGGAAGGAAAGACAAGCTAGTACAGGGTCCAAACCAGTGAAATCCACATTTCCTGCCACTTGAGTTACAAGTTCTGGGAAAGAGAAACACAATACTTACTGTTGTTGCAAAATGGTGAACAACAGCAATGGAAATGCAGGCATCACAAGACCCACTGCGGATTGGTACCGCCAGTGCATCGGAGATGAAGGCCTGAAATTGCCTCTCTCTACAAATGTCCACAAGGTTTTGGCTACGGTCACAACCAATCTATAACAGAGAAAGAAAATTGTAACATCTTACTTAAATGTCATGAAAAACTAAGAGCAATTAATTTATTCCTGACCATAAAGTTATGAGACAGATTTCATATTCATTGTGAAATGGTCTAAAATTATGATATTATCAATTCTTACAGCTAGTACAAAGTCAGAATATATCATTCATAGGACAGCATTCATTACCTGAACAGGTATCAAACAGGCCTCAAATTAGTGAGTGGAAACCAATGACAGTGGTATAAATGGGAGGTCCTAATTGGCATCTAATTGATCAGCATTCAGAATCTAGATCTCTTTGTAATATCACACACTAAAGTGGAAACTATCCCATAAACATATACAGTCTTTTAGGGATCTACAAATAAGAGGATCTAAGGTATCTCTCATTACTGTAGAAGCCACACTCATGGCCCAGATAGCAGAAAAATAGCTGAATTTTTCCTGCTTCTTTTTACTTTCAATATGTATTACTAGGACAGTCAGAAAATAAAATACCAAAACAATAAAAAAGTAAAATAATTTACTTCATTTTTAAAGTTATTGATATTTGTTCTGCTAAACACCTAATCTCTCTCTCTCTCTCTATATATATAGTCTGGCAGAAGTAAGGCCTGCCTGAGTGTGGTAGATAGGGTAAAAATATGGGTGTAATAATTTATAGTTTAATTTGAACATTTCACCTAAGTGTCATATGGTATGCTTGAAAGTGATATTGTTATGTTATAGAATTACATGCTTATGATTGTGTAGTAAAAAGGGGCGTTATTTGTGCCAGCCATATATATATATATATATATATATATATATATATATATATATATATATATAAAGAATAAAGTGCTAGATTCAAAATTCATAAAATCATATTTAATTTAACCAGTCAGTATAACCGAACCATCCTGTGGGAATGACAACACTGAGGGCAGTGAGCAGCATCCTTCCGCCTTCCCAAGCAGGTGAGGTCTCCCACGCTCTGTGTGTGTCTAGTCCTTTGGAAGTCTGGGAATTGAGACTGCCTATTTCCTCTCTAGTTCTGCTGTTGTTAGTTCGTACACAGTACTGCTGTTTAGTTTTAACAATGTCATGTGTGTGTGCGCAGAGACCACACATGTGCACAATGTGCATGTGTAAACCGAGGAAAGAATGGGAGTGTTTAAGAAATGTTAAATCACTACCTAATAATTATCCCCAAATGTTTCTGCTTAACCCAGTCTCTACAACAGAGAAATGATATGTACAAGTAGATTTCATCAAACAGAAGTAGCTACCTCAAGCTTATATTTATTCACTTAACAATTAGCTTATATTTATTCACTTATCAGTATAGTGGACATTGACTATTTGGATTCTCTCAATCCATCGGAGAAGAAAGAATATGAATCTTTGTGTCAAAGCAATTCTTACTGAGTTAAATCACACTGCCAAGACAGTCTTACTTAAAACAAACTTCCTCAATTTCTAATTGTCATCAAACAGCTTCTATATTCTATCCCAGAGCTGCATTCATTTCTGAGGTATAATATAAGGTATCAAGCCAAAGGCAAAATATAGCAATTTCCCTCTGACGTATTTTATAATGGAAAAGTACTAAGGGCCCATAGTAACAACAGTGGCACAATTCCCAACTAGCTGCTCCTTTTACCAGGTTAAAGTACATATCTGGCTTATTACCTTGATTTCTCTCCATCGGTATTCTGTGCCACTGAGACAACAGTCACAATGTAAAGATGACAATACTACTCAAGGAATGTGTATATTAGATTTTGGTGTTTGCTAGCTTATCTTACAGTAAAATTTAGTTTATGAAAATAGAAGTTTCAAATGCCTGATTCTGACAGATTGCTGTACTTTGCTAAAAGTCAACAGGAAGAAATCAAACTTGCCTATAAAACAAATCTCCAGAGATAGAGCTCTATAGTTACTCAAAGGAGGAAAGTTACTATCTGAGGACCACAGATAAAACAGAACAAGGAGAACAGCGGCCAAACAAAATTGGAGAAAATGTACTTTTTCTTCACTCCTTTTGCCAACAAGAGAGGTGGGGCAACTTGAGTAATAAAGCGCGGGGTCTAATGAAGAGTCCCCACGGAACAACCTGGCTCCCGCAGGCTCTGCACTTTCATCTTCCAGTCACTTTGACTGAGTCTTCCATACAGTACAGCTGAATCATCACTATTTTTTTGTCTTTCCTTTCTATTTTTAAATTCCCAAAGTTCTTATACCATGGATAGTGCGAAGTATTTTAAGCTCTTCCTAATAATACTGCATAATGTCAACAACAGGACAGAATATGGCTTATTTACAAATACTCACAGATACTGAAAGACTCACATACCTCTATGTGTTGGGTAGAGATCAATGACAAAAAAACACATATTGGTTGGTCTTAAAATGGATAATTATACTCCTATATAATTTTTAAAATATTCAACAAAACATACACATACAATTCTGAAAATACAGGTAAAAATGAAAAGATATTCAACTGAATAGTCAAAGGTGCAAACTAAAACAAGGTCCTATTTTTCCCCTATCAAAGTATCAAAATGTTTTAAAAACACAGTACATCACAGTGATAACAACATGGTAAAACTCGCTCTCATAAAAGTTAGTGACAGTCCATACAAATTGGCCTACCCAATTTAAAACAGTTTTGCGAAAATTTTTTAAGGAAGATAAAACTGTTCATAACTTTTGACCCAATAATTACTCTTCTAAAAATTTATCCTAAGAAAATGGTCCAAAATATGGAAAAGGCTAAACAGGCTAGTATAACTGCCTTTTACTGAATACCACTAAGTATTAATGTAGATTTTTTGTATTAATGTACTTTACCCTCATAATACACTTCGAGTTAGGTATTATTAGCACCATTTTATAAATAAGGAGACTTCATTGCAAAGAACATAAGTAATTTGCCCCAAGGGGAGCAGTAGTTAAGGGGTAGAGCAAGGATTTAAACCTAAGTCTTCTTCTCTTCAAGAATCCACATTCTTCTTTTGTGTCACATTGTCTCAACATACGTGTTTATTACAACGTTGTTCACAATAAGCTCCAAACTGAACACAACCAAATGTGGAACAGTATCAACCTCTTAGAACTTATAAAGCCCAAGAATTATATAAGACTACAAATCAAAATGGAAATATTAATATAAATGAATCATCAATCACTGCATGCAAACAGAACTATATAAAGAATTTATAGGATAAATACTGAAAAGACATCCCTCACAATAAACTGCTTTATTATGGTATTAGGATAACAAGTGAATATCTTTCCTTTCTGAATTATGACTATATTATTTTTATTTCTTAAAATATACATTTTTAAAACTTTTAACAAAATATACAATTATAGGAAATCACACTGGTAGCATATAGTTTAAAGTGCAGGCAAATAGGCAAAGAAGGTAAAGTATAGTAAAATGCACACTAAAATCTAGATTTAAATTTAAATTCTGGCTTCAGCAATAGCTAGCTGAACAACATAAGAAAGCTACTTCATATCTCCGAGCCTGTTTTTCCTTATCATAAAGATATCTACCTCTCAGGATTAATATGAGAATCAAATAAAATAATGTATAATAAATATTTTACTAATGATAAAAATGCTATGCAAATGTTAGTTACTATTAGCATATGGAAGAAGAAGTGGACCTAAACCCTTGTCCTGGATTCTAGATATGCAGAGCAACCCAGGCACCCTAAAGGCACCTTACTCTGAGTTAAGGTCCACCCATCCTGAGGCTGTCACACTTCCTTCAAGGTTGCAGAACACAGCACTGGTATATTCTGGTTTCATGTTTTGGGTTGGCCAAAAAGTTCATTACATTTTTTCTGTAAAATAAAAAACACATTTTTCATTTTCACTAATAACTTTATTGATTTGGCGATTTTGAGTGTGTCAGCTGTCTTCCTGCTATTGGCTTCTAGTGGGTAGAGGCCAGAGGTACAGCTAAATATCTTTCAATGCATTAGACAGCCCCACAGCAAAGAATTACTTGGCCAAAATGTCAATAGTGCAAACATCACAAACCACTTTTGACATGTTCAGTGAGTCACAGCACCTTCCCCATACACTGCACAAATCTTGTTTTGCATTTCAGTTGCATTTTTACTTTTCTTAAAATAATAAAGCATAACACACTGAAATTGTTGCATATTTTCTTCCACCTTCAATATTAAAATGGCCACATAAAAATTCACCCATTTTGATAAACTTTTTTTAATGCACGCTGATATGACAGCTGTCAGAATACAATCTAACAATATTGTTTTGAATGAAGTTAAAGAAAACTAAGCACTACTAGAGCCAGCATATGGAAAAACATAATGGACTTTTTGGTCAAGCCAATACAAAACCATGTGAAGTCACAGGCTTGCTCCTTCCAAATTTTTTTAAGACCTTATTTATTCATTTTTAGAGAGAGGGAAAGAAACACTGATGTGTGAGGGAAACATCGATCGGTTGCCTCTCGTATACCCCCACCAGGGACCTGGTCCACAACCCAGGCATGTGTCTCGACTGGGAAGTGAACAGAGGACTTTTTGGTTTGTGGGAAGATGCCCACCTCACTGAGCAACACCAGTCAGGGAGCTCCTGCCTAATGTTCAACAATTAATAGGCTTCTATTATGTGCCAAGTAAGTGGACAACAAAACAAACACAATTCCTATCATGTCTGAGTGTAGTCTGGTATTCCCCTGTCACCACAGCTAGCCTTTAGAGTTTGTCTTGGCAGAGCACCACAGCATATGGATTCTGGGGTTGGAAATGAGATTCTAATATTTACCCTGATATCATTTACCCTTCATCATGTCAAGCCTGAGCATCAGTTTTTCTATTTGAAAAATAGAGACAGTAACACCAATGGCATGAACTATGTCCCTGAGAAAACACAGCACAGCACTAGCACACAAGTACCTGACATTGTTAGTTTCCTTTCTGTTATTTCCTTTTCTAGGGTAGTTGACAATAAAAAAAAAAG